TGGCCAATTATAATCTGGAACTAAGTGGGTTAACTTTTTTTGCTAGGCCCCCCTTTGTTTTACAAGAATAATGCCCCCTGTATCCCACTGTAACTTTACTGTATAAAGAGCTAACATCTCCAAAATGTCAGGAGTAAGTTAGTCATTACAAGAAGTGTTTGTGAACTAAAAATCAAGAATGTGGGATACTGTCTGTCTGTGATTTGGAGAGCCCAGCGCTGCTCCCGATGCAGGGAAAACCAATTCTGCAGGGGAGACCTCCCTTGGCACTTGTGCAGGTGAAGCCAAAGGGAAGACATGCTTCACCATATTTTCTAGTCTTTGGCTTGGAAGGAAGTTGGTTTGGAAACATATTTGGCGATGCTTCATCTCCTGCTTTGCATTTGTCTGGGAGCCCCATCAAAAACCTGTCCACTATGCCATCAGTCTCCAAGCGTGTTTTTTTTTTGTTGCTTTTTTTTTGCCCCAGGGGGCGGGCCCCACACTTTGGGAATCTCTGGTTTAATTCAACAAAGCATGAAAAACTTAGGTTTAAATTTTTCATGACAGTGCAGAATTTCTGACATTTCCCATATGGAAAAGAAATAGTAAAAACTTATATGATTTACTCATGAAAGTGGCCACTTTCTCATTACTTTCATACATTGTTTTAGTAAGTATCCAGAACATACAAGTTTCATTATATAATTTTTCAAGGGATCTTATATCTGTTTTCACTCTTGTATGCTTTTCATACAAGTTTCACACAAGACAGATACAAACTTTATAAGATTTATATATATCTTTTCCATATAGGTTTGTTTAAGTGTAAGCATGTAACAATTTTATTTTTTTCTAACAAAAAACTTAGACTTGTGTTTGTGAATGAACCACCTCAATTGTGTAGCTTTCTGGATTTTATACTTATTAGGCTACATATTTATTTATTATACAGGCTATACAGTAAAGTTGGGCGATTAGACGAATATATTGACTATTGACAATAGGGTGAGCCTATACCCATCATTTTTACAAGAGCGATTCATTTATTTATCATTTCCCCATGAGTATGTTTGCTAATAATGTTGGTTGAAGCTTACAGAAGCAGTCAACAGAAAAAATAATACCGCTGTTTCAACAGCACACTCTTCCAGCTGTGAACAAATGCACCCTCCTCAGAGTGCACCAAAATGCAGCGACTCATTTACTGAAACTCATAACAGAAAGAAAGAAAGTTAGTTCAGAAAAAAACAAACATTTTATTTCTTTCTTCTTCTTTTTTTTAAACCCACAGTGGTGGGGAGGGAAACAAAGAGAAATTGGCTTCTTTTTTCCACTATAACTGTGTTTACAGGCAGCTCCGGTGTTTGTCTTACACACTCAACCAAACAACAAATACAAAATTAAACAAACAGTTAGGGCTGGGCCATATTATACCATTCACGGTAGTACCGGTATAATGTTAGGCAACGATAGGAAAATGAAATATCGCGATAGAATATGAGTAAAACGCGCATGCGCAGTGCCTTTGTTTTCATACGCACATGGCC